AGAGAGAGAGAGAGAGAGAGAGAGAGAGAGAGAGAGAGAGAGAGAGAGAGAGAGATGGACCGAGTTTACATCTCATGCTACATATGATTTGCTTAACTGTAATAAGCAAATATTTTATTACAGTCTTAGATGAGATTGTTTAATCATGATTTATTATTTAAGGGCTTCACATCACCAGAACTGGTGCAGAGGTGGGTTGCTCCCGGTTCATCCCGGATCGGGCAAACCACTAGTAGTAGCAGGGGGAGGCTCTGCCCACCCAGCCAGATGCTGTCACACGCACACAAAGAGAACATCTGAACCGGTTGTAAAAAATCTGGCAATCCACCACTGAACTGGTGCATAAATATACCTGATAACTTTCCTGCAATGTCCTCATGAGCTTAAATCTTACTAGCAAGTGATAAATCTAGTATCTAGAAATGGAACCTGATAAACTTTACCTTTTGCTTCTGCTTCTCAATACTGTTCCATTTATTTTCTCTTTTATATTTCATAAAAGAACATCTGTATATGTATATGCATGCATGTATATGTATACCTATATAAATAGATGTAGAGAATATGTAGAGAGTCCGTGTGTGTATATGTATGTATGTGTGTGTATATACAACTAGCATTGGCCAGCTGACATAGCCCAGCTCTTTCCCAGTTTAAATTGACCATAAACCTAGTGCTCTTGCCTTCAAAACATGAAGGCAACACCACCAGAATTTCGCTCATGCTGCAGTTAGAGTGACATGCGGATGAGCCCTAGGTGTCTATCAGGTTTTCACCTAAGCCACAATGAGCTAGATTGACCCAACACACTAAGCCTTAAATCACTTTTTTACAAACTACTGTGGGTAAACTCACATAACATACTAAACCAGAACTAAACATTATAGTTTGTTTTAGTTCAATATGTAAGTTCCATCAGCATAAAAGTGTATATGATACACACACATATACACACACATTACAATTCACACACATACTTGTATTGAAAGAGAAAAGAGGGAGGGAGGGTGGAAGAAAGGAAAAAGATACACATGAAAGGTTGTGAGGAGAGTTAGGCTCCATTCTTAAAAGATTGGGTTGATCAATTGTTGGTAAAATGTAGTGACTTTCAAAAAGAGGTGGATGATAGTACAACCTGGAGAACACTGGAGACAGATAAACTGAGCACACACAAGGATGTACTTCTTTTTTTTCTCTTCTCTCCCCCCCCCCTCAATCTTATACTTCATTAAGAAGGATTTGTTTATTGGTCATCTCTCAAAGGAAACTCTCACAGCACTTCACAAAGAAGTCCTGTTCTCTCTGGAAAGTTAGTGGCATATTCAGGTAAGCAACAAAATACTCCCCTTCTTCTCAACGAATGAATCATGTCCCTCGTGCAGAGGCATGATATATGAGAATCTGGTTGTAAATAGGAAACAGAATGACCTCATGTCGGATATACCATGTCCCTGAGGGAACAAGAAACCACACTAAAGAGAAGAGGCAGGATGGAAGCCTTCCAGGTGAACAAGAAGCACTATTTCCAATGGCTTTAGTGCCATGATGAAATTGTACAAGTGTATCAAACCAGCAAAACAATCATCCCCCAGAAAATCAAGGAACACAGAGTGAAGGCAGAATGAAAAGCTTAGTAAATTAGAATGCTAAGAAGCAACATAAAGTACAGACATAGGATGATAGATGTTAAAGCTGGTAGCTAGAAAGAGGAGGAAACTTGGGTGGAAAGAAGAATTCATTCATGCCCAAAATAATGTGGAGATTTTTTGATGATAGCATAGCCCTTTCTTCATTTGCAAAATCTTTAAAACTTGCTCATAATTCTGTGCATTTTGGGAAACTGTGTGGGAATCCTGGAACATAAAAAAGGTCTCTTTTTTAGAGGTTACCCCCGGGGATGTGGACAAGGCCATGAGAGCTGTGAGTTCCTCCACCTGTGCTTTGGATCCGTGTCCCTCATGGCTGGTTTCTAACTGCAGTGAGGTGACACGAGGCTGGATCCAGGCGGTTGTAACCGCCTCCCTTCGGGAGGGGAACTTCCCCGCCGCACTGAAGGCGGCGGTGGTGAGACCCCTCCTGAAGAAGCCATCCCTAGATCCAGCTGTTCCTTAATAACTACCGCCCGGTCTCCAACCTCCCCTTTTTGGGGAAGGTTGTTGAGAAGGTGGTGGCCTTCC